TTTTGTTATCAGAGCTATAGAAAATAAAATACCCACACCCTGTCCCACACAGTGTCATACTGGTGGGATTAGTTTCCATCATATTTAACTCCAGAATATTAAGATCTACAAGGAGTCATGAAAGTTTGGGGCCAGACTAATCATACAGTGGGAAGAGTATTTGCCTTGCATATAATCCTATATGGTCTTCTGAGCACTGCCACATATTATCTCTAAGGTAAGAGCCAGCCTTGATACCTCTAGATGTGGTCCAACCCACTCCAACGTCAACAACCCCTGCTCCCCAAAACATCAACCTTTCGTTTATGTTGATGAATATAAAGGGGGATCTATGTTGGGGGTGGAAACTGGGGACATTATTGTTGAGAAATGTACATTGTTGGATGGATGCGTATTGGAACACTGAATGCCCCAAACAACTATTTTATTATAACTTTGTAAACCACAGTATTTAGTTTTTTTAAATAAAAAAGAAATAAAATTAGTGATTTTGTTCTTTGTGCCTCTGTAATAGAGAAAAGGTTCAAATTTCAGCATTAGCTAACATCCATTTTTTGTATTAAATTGGCAACTCAAGGTCCTTTGTAGAACTTTATCTATATTACTAAACAGTATAATAAACTCTAATCGAAGATGTAGGTACTTTATTTGATATCTTTATGCCATACATTTCTATGCATATTGCCCAAAATAAGTACGAACACTTGTTGCATATAATTTTTAATTTAATATTACCATTTTTAACTTGAACTCTTGAAAGTGACTTATGTGAAGATTGAGAAGAGAACCATTAGCCATCATAAGGGATTCTGCCACTTTCCTTTCTATCTTCTTTGGTCAATGGGGTCGGTGCTGAAGTGAGTTGGAACTAAGTAAGACCTTTGAGTACCAGGCTAAGAACTGTTGGTACTGCCAACACCTCACTGGGGCTTTAATAAACTCAAAAGAGTTTATTGATAATCTGACCCACCTGGACAATTCTTTCCTTTTTTTTTTTTTTTGCTTTTTGGGTCACACCCCATGATGCACAGGGGTTACTCCTGGCTCTGCACTCAGGAATTACTCCTGGCGGTGCTTGGGGGACCATATGGGATGCTGGGAATCAAACCAGGGTCAGCAGCGTTCCACAGAAAGTTCCAGAAGACACTTTATCGCTTATGGTTATAGAAGCAAAGGTGGCGGTTTTCCCAAATTTTGAGGAAACAGTCACAAGTCTGTCAGCTAACTGGTCATGCCCACCTGCTGTGCCCAGAGATATCCTACTTCTCACAGGACTGTCAAAAGGTGCCTAGGGATTTCTAGCTTTGGCCAAGGACAGTTTCAGGAAATTCTTTGGTGTGTTGAGGGGTGGCAGGGGGGACAGAAACTTAGGCCTACTGCTCATTTGTTGAAATGCAGCCTGTCACGGTGCTAATGAGGTTCTTTCTCTACCTCACAATATGAGGAATAGGTAAATGGAGACAAGCATGACTGGATTTATAAATTGTTAATTCCATAGACTCCAGGGTAGCATCAAGATACTCTTTAAGAGCTGGAAAGAAATAATAGTGGGTAAAGCACTAGCTTTACACAGAAACTGGGTTTGAGCCCTTGTGACTTTAAATGATGACAGGGATTGTCAGGAAGGATCCCAAAGAACAGAATCCAGGACTAAGCTAGGAACAACAAGCTTTAATTGATATAGTTTCTTAAACCACTTTCAATTTATGTTTATATCATTTCCCCCAAATCACTATTTTTTGGGTTGTATAATAGTTGTATTTAGAGATTACTAGAAATGAAAGAAAGAGAATAACATGTTCAGAGAGAGCATAGACTTCTCCAAGATGAGAGCTGAGAGCAATACCACAGTTAGAGATTCAGGGGAGGAAAGTACTTGCCTTCACAATAATTTTAGAGTAACTTTATAGGTTTTCTCCTAATCTGTCTACAGACAACTTTTCTACCTGGCTAAAAGTCTGTTCACTGCTATGGTATTGTCAAAAAGAGCCTGAGACTTTTTTTTTTTTTTTTTTTTGCTTTTTGGGTCACACCCGGACAATGCACAGGGTTTACTCCTGGTTTATGTACTCAGGAATTACTCCTGGCAGTGCGCTCAGGGGACCATATGAGATGCTGGAAATCGAATCTGGGTTGGTTGTCTGCAAAGTTGGGTCTGACCATATTAAGTATTAAGAGTTTTTTTTTTTTCCTTTTTTGGTCACACCTGGTGATGCACAGTCATCACTCCTGGCAGTGCTTGGGAGACCATATGGAATGCTGGGAATCAAACCCAGGTCTCATGCAAGGTAAATGCCCTACTTGTTGTAATATTGCTCCAACCCTGAACATATTGAGTCTTCCTAATTTAGAGCTAGTGATAGTAAATTCTTCAATCCCACCTTAGTTGTATTCCTTTCGAGGATTGAGTTTCTCTCTCCCCCCCCAACCCTGAGCAGAGACCCAGCAGCTGAGGACCCCCGGAGCCAGGCACGGCTATGCTGGGACCACTGTCCACATGTCCAGACAGGCTTCATTCATGAAAGAACTGGCAGAGGAACCCAGGCATACGGGTACCCGGGGCTGAAGTCTCCAAGTCTACTCGGATTGGGACTGGGCCTTCTCCACCCAGAACCCCCTCATCTTCCAGTAGGTAGGCGTCACACCCACCAGCTGCCACCAGGGCCAGATTGGTCCCATCAATGGCCAAGACACAGAGACTATAAAACCCAGCTCCCGGAAGTGTGCGGCCTCATTCGTGGCATCTTATTTTTTCTTTTGGAGAACGTGACAGGCTACCAAAAGTATCCTGCCCGCACGGTAGAGTCTGGCAAACTTCCCGGGTCGTACTCAATATGCCAAATACCAGTAACAATGATGGGGCTCATTCTCCTAATCCTGAAAGAGCATTGAAACTGCGCTTTTAAAAATCTCAGGGCTAGGAAGAATTAGACGTTACTGGTGCTTGCATGAGAAAATCAACGAACAACAGGATGATAGTGATCGTGATCCTGATAGTAAATTCTTCAATCCCATCTTCGTTGTATTCCTTTTGAGGAACTCATACACAGTGTGCCCATCAAATACTATTCTTACTAAAGGAAAATGAAAATAGTGATGAAAAAACAAAATGAAGGACATATTTTTCAAGCGTGGAAGTTAGCATATTTGTTTTTTTGAATTAAATTTGAAAACAATTAATAAATACAATATTTAAGAATTATTAGAAAGGTTCTAATGAGGGCTTTAAGCCAGCTTATGACATACATGTCAACAGAAGGAGGAATGTTTACATAGAAATGTCTTTGACCAATCATTAATGAGTGGTGTAATTACACCACTCATTAGTGAGTTATGTAATTATGATGTCATGTGATATTTTAGTCCAAATTCTCTTTGTAAATACAGCAAATATATTAAAACTAAATCCAGAACAGTTTTTCACTTTTTTTATATACTTATTTTAGTATTTGAACCTGACTCAGTAGGGCTTAGGGGATATTCCTTGTTCCATGCATGGAGATCACTACTCCTAGGTTTTATGTAATTGAGGGAAATTTGTTAAATGTGCATACCGCTAATAAAATACACTGTAGATATAAACTAATTAGCGGGAATGGATATGAGATCTGTGTAATGCCTTTTAAAACATATTGCTGCTGCAAGGAAGCAAGACGTTACTATTCAGTAAAAATGTATTTTATTAGACACAGGCATATAGGTGTAAAATAATCAGAGATATATTACAAAGAGTTACAAGAAGAGATCATCTCACTCAGATACCCCAAAATTGAAGACTTACGCAACCAGTCCCATATATGTCAGATAACCCGCAGTCCACATGATGCAGGTGGAAAGCCCAGGCTGTGCTCACCCCTCCTCAGCCCTCCCCGCGCGCGCAGTCAGGCCCCACGCGGAAGTAGGGCTTGAGCTCTTGAGCCAAGGGCTCAGTGAACGAGTGCAGATGAGACCTGTCGGCGGTGTTGTAGAAGGAAAGCTGGCCCAGCTCCCAGTCCAGGTAAATGCCGATGGCTGCGGGCTGATCCCTGAGAGCCAGAGGCGCGGCTCCCGCGCCCACGGCTAGGTAGTCGCTGTCCTGCAGCTGCAGCGTCCAGCATCTCTTGGGAGCCACCAGGGGACGCGAGGCCTGGGCGGAAGGGGTGACACTGCACACGCCCACTGCCCACTCGGGCTTGGTGCCCACCTGCACCTCCCAGTAGTGGCGACCAGAGGCAAAGCCCTCCCGGCCCAGGACCACCAACTGGGCGGTGTCATCACAGGATTCAGGGTCCCCATCCGCTTTGGACCTCTTCCTCACACAGGTAACAGACTGGAGGTCCTGGGACACGCGCAGGCTGGGGTGGGCCGTGTGGGGGTCCAGGCTGATGCTCTCACGGAATCTCTGGATGATGCTGCTGAGCCCTGAGCACAGAGGAGGGAGGCTGTAGGTCACTGGCCTGAAGCGCAGTAGCTGCACGGCCGGGGGCTGCAGGCCCGCCCAGTGCTGCTGCAGGCCCCTCACCCACCTCAGCACCATCTCCTCCGACATCACGCTTCACTCCGCCACCTCCCTTCTGAGGTTCTTCAGCGCCGAGATTTGGTCCGTGTAGGCCTCCAGGTTGGCCCTGAGCTGCTGCTGCAGGCGTTTGTCCTCTTCTGCCAGCCAACAGAGCGCGGCCTCCTGCTCACGCTCCACAAACTGGGTGAGCTGCTCAAATTCTGAGGCCAGCTGATTGCTGTGCTTTCCCATGTCATCTCTCAGCTGCAGGATGTTTCTGTCTTGGGCGACTTCTCGCTTCTTCACCTCTACCAGCTGCTTCTTCAGGGACTCGATGCACTCACCAAGCCTCTTTCTGTGATGAGCCGCTGCCTCGGCCACGGACCTGACATGGTGTCCCTGGTGGGCAGGGCCCTGGGCACACAGAGAACATACCAGCTCCTGGTCATCCTCGCAGAAGAGGCTGACTTCCTGCCTGTGCTCCTCACATCTGCGGTCCTCTGCCTGCGCCATCTCGCTGCTCTCAGATCTGTGCAGGATCGACTAGGTCCACCAGCCTGCCCAGCTGGGCGTTGGCACTGATGCGCATCTCCAAGCGGGACTGCTGGCACATGGGACAAGGGAATGTGTCCTGCAGGTCCTTCCATGACATGCGGATGCAGGAGTCGCAGAAGTTTTGGCTGCAGTCGATGGTGACGGGATCATTGAGATAGTCCAGGCAGACAAGACAGATGAGTTCCGGCTGCATTTTGGCCAGGGCTGCTGACACCTTCTCCATCCTTAGGTGTGGAAAGTGCAGTACACGGATGTTTTTGCTCACAAGGTCGAGTTCCTCAGGTTTTCTCCTGCCAGAAAAAAAAAATTAAAAAATCACAAACTCAGCCTCTGTTCGAAATTTAATATGGTTTTCTCTGTGATTTGTCTCTCTGAAAACCCAGCTCCCATCTGGACTCAAGGCCCTCCAAACTCTTTTCACCAATAAGCCCACCAACCTCCGGGTCTTCATCCATTAGAATCCCCTGTTTCAATTGATCAAAACTTTCTGTGATGAGGAAATGACCCCTTTAACATCAGAGGAATGTCACTCAACTCTGGGGTATAGCATAAAGAAAATAGAGATCAGATGGTCAAGCGGAGACCCTCTAGAGCCTGCACACAGTAGTCACTTAGGAAGCTATAGAAATAATGCTCTTGCCCCATAAGAACCACAAATTCCCTGATTGATTTCTTGTCCCTGGTTTCTGCCTCCAGTTACCACAAACCCCAGATTGATCGCTACCTCACCTTGATCCTGACTCTGGCTGGTGCAGTGCTTGGTCCTGCTGGTGAGCTACTCCCCTTGCAGGATGCAGACTCAGGCTGGCACTAGGGCACTGTGTGCCCTGCACTCAGCACTTTGTTTATATACATCATAGGGTGGGTCTTGAAAGACCCACCCAGGAATGACTGACGGGAGGTCGGGTGGGGCTTTATAGAAGGGATTTTCAGAGCGGTGATGGGATTCCCCAGAGTTCTACACCTGTCACTAGGAGCTCCATGTTTAGGGAACTAGCGTTCACTAGTTGGTTAAGCAAGCCCTTCCTTAACCATCTTTATGTTCCTTATCCCATTCTTGGTGAGAATATGTAGAAAATGTTATATGAATTAGAACGAAAGTGCTGTTGGGGCAAGAGAGATAATGGAGGCTGTAAGGTGTTTGCAAGGTGTGGTACTGAGTCAGCAGAATGCCCTGTTCATTGTAGGGTGTGGCACAACAAAACTAATTATAGCCCTGTATATAACTGTCTTCCCATTGCTCATTGATTTGCTTGAACAGGCACAAGTAACATCTCATTGTGAGACTTGCTACTGTTGTTGTCATATCAAATATGTCATGGTTAGCTTGCCAGGCTTTGCCATGAAGGCACGAAACTCTCAGTAGCTCTCCAAGAGGGATGGAGGAATGGAACCAAGGTCGGCCAGGGTCAGCTGCGTGCAAGGCAATCGCCCTACCTGCTGTGCTATAGCTCCAGCCATATAAAATTAATTAAATACCCAAATACATCAAAGTACCAGGCTGCGTTTGCCCGTTCAGTCTCTCCCCAGGGGAGTGTAACTGGGTTCACAATTTGTCCTTTCCAGAGTCTGCAGTGCTGCATTGAGATTTCAAAAATTGTCGCCAATGACACTGGGGGTGGCACTGGTGCCAGAACAGTGTGGGTGACATATTCTACTATGAGAAGTTTGGTAAATTGCTGTGCCCTAATAAAATTTTAAACTGTAGCACTGTAGCACTGTCCTCTCGTTGTTCATCGATTTGCTCGAGCAGGTACCAGTAACATCTCACACCAAATTGTGATACTTGCTGTTACTTTTTTTTTGCGTATCGAATACATCACTGGGAGCTTGCCAGGTTTTGAGTTGCGGGTGAGATAGTCTCGGTAGCTTGCTGGGCTCTCCAAGAGGGGCGGAGGAATTGAACTCGGGTAGGTTATGTTGGCTGCGTGGAATGCAAACACCCTATCTGCTGTGCTATTGCTCCAGCCCCAAATTTTAAACAATTAATAAAAAAAAAATAAAATGATTTTTAAAATGACATTATAAGTGTCCACAGCTCTCTGATTGAGACACCATATGTTTAACTTTCTATCAGCAAGTGTGAAAGTCGTTGGAATCATCCTTGAATTATCTTATTCGAAAATCTCACCCAGTCCACCAAGAGCAAACCCTGTGCTCAGTACCATGAACCTGTTCCTGCTGTAGTCCCATTCGGGCCTTTGCCTTCTGATCTCTCAACTTCTCCTCAGAGCTCCTTTAGGGTCACATCACTGTCCCTAAGGAAAAGCTTTGTCCTAAGAACACTGGAGAGCTCTTATCTGGTAGATAATACTTAAAGGATAGTTTTTTTTTTCCTCTCTTTGGGTCACACCAGTCGATGCACAGGAGTTACTCCTGGCTCATGTACTCAGGAATTACTCCTGGTGGTGCTGGACCGTATGGGATTCTGGGAATCAAACCTGGGTCGGCCGTGTGCAAGGCAAACACCCTACCTGCTGTGCTATCACTCCACCCCCTATACACATTGCTTTAATGTAGGTATACTGCTATTTATTCAGTCACTGACTAAGCTGATTGAAGCGGGTATGAACTCTATATTACTTTTTGTTTTCTTTTTAATTTTGTTAAATGAATATCAATGAGATACACCATTACAAAACTGTTTATAATTGGGTTTTGGGTTTTGGTCATACAATGATCCAGCATTCATTCCTCCTCCAGTGTATATTTCCCAACACCAGTGTCCCCAGTTTCCCTCCCACCATCGCCAATACCCCACACTCCACCCCCAGTCTCTCTCGATGGGTTAAAGGGTATTTTTAATTACATTGCCAAACTTAAATTGAAAGCCATATGCCAAGATAAATCTAAATAATATTAGCTTCGAGGTTTCTTATACAATTACTTAAGCTAAGCTTCACTGTCACACATTTGAGTTGAAATGTGAGCAGGAATCATTTAATCACTTGATCACTTGACATCCCATTACCCATCGATATGTTCATGTGGGCACCAGTAATGTCTCCATTTGTCCCTGTCAGTTGCCGCTGTAGCCCAATGCTGTCTGCTCATTCTAGCACCATGAGCAGCCTCAAACCGTTCAGTCAAGGTCTTTCAAAGAAGTCTGACCATCTCATAGGTGGGCAGCCACGCAATCTTTTGATATCCCATGGAATCCAGTCAGTAATGGCTCTAGTCAGCGGTTGTCTCCAAATCACATTATGTGTCCAACCCATCTAATTTTTGATGCCTTGGCAAATAATAGAGCATCCCTGATTCTTGACCATCGATAGAGGTTGGAAGTACGGATTCTTTCTCTCATTCGAGTGAAGTATGATACCTCAAGCATAGCTCTTTTGATTCCTGTTTGGGAGACACAAATAGCATTCTCAGCCTGTTTTCATAGGACCCGGGTCTCTGAGACATATGTTAATGCAGGAAGAATAGTGGAATTGAAGAGACAGGCCCGGAGCCGGAGGTTCTTCGTACTCTTAGTTATTTCTTCGACGCTTCGATATGCGTTCCAAGATGCTCTCTTCCTCCTGCGTAACTCAGGTGCCAGGTCATTCGTCATGTTGACTTCTTGACCTAGGTACATGTAACTGTTGCAATCGGAAATGTTCATCTGGTTGAGAGTGAATGGAACATCAAGAACAAGATCGTTTCTCATAAACATTGTCTTCATGAGATTCATCTGTATTCCGAGCTTTCCACACTCATAGTCGAAGTTGCCAGAATTTGTACTGCTTGGCTGATGTTTGGTGTAACTAGAATGATGTCATCAGCGAAGTGGAGGTAATGTAGTTTCTGACTGTCTATATTCACTCTCATTTCTTCCCATTCCAGTTGTCGCCTGACGTTCTCGAGGGTGGTACTGAAGAGTTTTGGTGAAATGGCATCACCCTGCCAAACACCTCTCTTGACTCAATGATCACCTCCCTCTAGAATGGTGAGATCCTGGTAGTGAATCCGCAACACAGCTCACAGAGGATCCTGATGTATTGAGTTCGAATGCCCTGTTTGGCTAGGGCTTCGATGACACTTCAGTCAACAGAATCAAAGCCTTCTTTAAATCAATGAACATTAGACAGAGCTGCATCTTGAACTTCTGAGAAACCTCAATGAAGTTCGTTATCATGTGGATATGGACGATTATACTGAATCCTTTTTGGAACCCGACATGCTTGCATGGTTGTCCTCAATCTAGTGTTCTGCCAATCCTATTCAGGATGACTTGAGTGAATAACTTGTAGACAACAGACAACAGGCAGATAGGGCAATAGTTGCCTTGCACGCAGCCAGCCCGGCCAAGATGAGTTCTATTCCCCTGCCACTCTCTGAGAGCCTGGCAAGCTACCTAGAGTATCTTGCCTGCACAGCAAAGCCTAGCAAGCTACCCATGACATATTCGCTATACCAAACACAGTAACAACAAGTCTCATGATGGAGATGTTACTGGGCCCGCTCGAGCAAATCAATGAAAAACGGAAGTAAAGTGCTACAGTGCTACAGTGCAAAGACACTTCAAAGAACTAAGAAAATGCTTATTGGAGGCCCATATTCAATCTCAGCACTGCACAGTTCTCTGGGGGCTGTGTCATGTGACAATGAACACAGCTAGATAGAGTCTAAAAAATAACAAAGGTGGAAAAGGGACATTTACTTGCATGAAATCTCCTCCAGTAGTAAAAACAGATGCCTTTGACTATTGTTCACATTTAAATTCAAATGTATGACACTGAAACTTATTTTATATAATTGTATAAGGAATCCCGATTCAGCAGAATCGATCATATCCACAAGTGACCAAACTCATGGATATTTCACGAGACTTCAAGATGCCACGCTGTCTAACATTAAAAGAAGACCTTTGATTCTACTGAGACAGAAGCGGTCATCGAAGCCCTAGCCAAACAGGGCATTCAAATTCAGTACATCCGGATCCTCCTCAAGCTGTATTAATGATACAACACCAGGATCTCACCATTCTACAAGGAAGTGATCAACGAGGTCAAGAGAGGGGTTTGGCAGGGTGATACCATTTCACCCAAACTCTTCAGTCCCACCCTCAAGAAAGTCATGCGATGACTAGAATGGGAAGAAATGGAGTGAAGATAAATTGTCTGCAACTACAACACCTCTGCTTCACTGATGACATCATTGTAATAACACCAAACATTACCCACGCGGCACAAATGCTGGTCAACTTCAGCCGTGAGTGTGGAAAGGTCAGACTGCAGTGAATCTCACGAAAACAATCTTTGTGAAAAATGAACTAGTCCTTGATGTTCCATTTGCTCTCAATGGA